TAACAACAAACGCATTCAAGATCTTCAACAGCAAGGAGTACATACATACATACATACACTTTATTTCAACTCGAATTATCAGAGTAGCTCTGTTGAGCTAATATCTTCGAGAAAGAAAAAAATACATAAGTCATATAAATTATTAAAATACAATAATTAAAACTACTACTAATACAGTAATTATAACTACTATTAAAAGTTCATTCTCTTTATGACTGTCTTAAAATCTTTAAATGATGTAATGATGTAAAGCTCCAACATGTTTTACGGGACATGAATTAATTGCTACAAGCAAACAGATTGTCTCTTTACGAGAAATGAGGCCTCCAAGTTTTAAGAGATTTTCATCAGCATTTGGCTATGAATAGCAATGAGAAATGGGAAATGTTTACTTCCAAATCGTTTTACCTGACTTCAGCTTAAAAGAGCCCGTTACCAAGATCCTTGGGGCACCGAAAAATGAAGTCAACAATATGCTGGAGAAAACAAAGAAAGTCATAAATGAAGAGGTCAGGAAGAATCGCCACCTGAAGGACCAGAAAATAAATTGTGGTTATAGGCGTGTCCATCCCCTATATGGCATACAATACATTGTACAAGTGACATTCTTTACTGTAAAGAAACATCACAACAACTTAACTGGTGAAACAAAAACTATTTACATTTCACATAAGAGAAGCTTGTTTGAAAATTTGTGAAAACTCGAAAGAGAAGAAAAACTCGAAACAGTTCAAGAATTACTGGACTCAAGCGCTCTCTTAACGTGTTTTAATTTTTTAACCGTTTTATCTAACGCCGTTGTGTATATCATTGTAGAGTTATATTTTGTACATATAGTTTTGCTATTAGACCCTTTATATTAATTAAACCCTTTTCTTTTTAGGGAAAACAGTTTATAACATCCAATTTCTGTTTTTCATTTTAAGATATGGTTTTTAATTTTAAAGCTTTTCTTTACATTAGGAATAAATGTTATATTGTTATGCTACACGAAAGGCTGAGAAAAGCGACAGACGCGATATATATTTTGTAACGTTTTCCTAATCACTCAAGTGTACAAATTGGTGATGCCCTGGTTAAATCGGTGCTGTCGACCTGATCGGGCAAAATAGATTAGTTTGAATAAGTGGTACATTTACTTTCTATTGATAAGGCCCTCTTGGCAATGTCTTTTGCGATCCGTCAGCCGAACATCTCATCCTATTGATCAAGGTGGACGACCACGACCACGGCTCCAACTCGTTTGGTGGTTTCTTACCCAATTTCCGTTTCTGTGGTGATTGCAACTGCAGGTAGGATCACGACAATCTACATCACCAACTTGTCCATCTTGTCCACCGACAGGACCACGATTTGGTACTCGGGTAAAGCGTCCTGGGAAAGCTGCAATTACCGGAGTCCGCAAGGTCCCTCGGGTAATTGAGCGAGTCGATGAAGTTCTTTGACCAACTGCTATTGATTCTAGATCCCGTGAATTCCAATAAAAGATATTACATAAATATTTAGCGACAAACAAGTTTCTCCACAAAATTGGCCTAGCACCTTCGCCTCTGTGCACTTTCTGCAAAAAAGAAAGTGAGTCTATCGAACATCTACTAATAAAATGTGAATATTCCGACAGTTTCTGGAGAGAACTAATTAACTGGCTAAATACGATAGAAATAAAAATCGAAGCACTATCAGATGTTGACAAAATGTTTGGACTTTGGAACAGACAAGTAGACTTTTATCTTCTCAACCATCTGTTGATCTTAGCAAAACAACACATTTACTCCTGTCGAAATAAAGGATTTCCTCCGTCATTAAAGATCTTTCTCGCAAAAGTTTCCTCAGTATATCAAATCGAAACGGTTATTTCCGATTGTAATGGCAAGCGAACATTTCATGACGCCAAGTGGAAGAAATGTATTACAACTAATTGTATTTAGGCCGGCAGCCTAAAAAATGTAACAATTGACGTAGTTTTATTAATATATTAGTAAGTATTTTTGGTATATTAGTATTTTCCTTACAAGTAGTGTTATTAGTAACAGTATTTCTTGCTTTTTTTTTTTCCATCTATACTAGCGTTAGTCTATGTAGTTTATTCTAAAAAAAGTAAAAATTAGCGTAGTTTTTTATTCATTAATATAAATAGTTAGTAAGTATTTTGGGTGTATTAGTATTTTCCTCTTAAGTAGTCTTATTAGTAATAGTATTCCTCGTTTTTTTTTTCCAACTGTACTCACGTTAGTTTATTTAGTTTTTCTTTCTTTTATCTGCAAATGTTATTTCAATTGTTATTGTCACTCTTATTTGTAAACTTATATAAATATCAATAAAATACAAAAAAAAAAACAACAAAAAACTGAGTCTGGATAGCGAAACCAGTTTTGAAATTGACGTAATCCAAGGGACGATATCCGTGGTCGCACCAACACAACTTGTCCGTGCTTTTGACGGTGATCACGGATTGCTCGCGGGCCAGCAATTTCTCCACGGTCTCTCATCCCGGTGTCTGTTTCACGGCTTACCGTTACCACTGCCAGGATCCGGGGTGTGGATGATGGTAGTTTCCATACATGGTGAAACTCTTGTCCGGGGTGAAATCCTGATTGAAGTTTAAATTCTGGGCCAATGATTGGAGATCGGTGTTGAGTTTGGTTCTTGTTGCGAAACTCTGTCACGGATTGAAAAGCGTACTGGGAGGAATCCGATTGCATGACAAAGTGGACCGTGGAGTGAGGCATGAGTCTGACGTCGCTGTCTATCACGACTTGTCGCAGATCATCTCGTTCCGTCGGTTCGAGGTTCTTCCGGACTGTGGCACGTAAGGTTTGTTTGTCGGCCACATGTTGAAGATCAAACTCCAACAGGGTGAAGGGGTCGTGGGACATCCTCCTTGATCTCGTCGACGATGGAGTCGAAGAGCCACAAATCATCGTCATTATCGTCATCATCATCGGCAAATGCCTCGCTGTAGGTCCTCTTGTGCGTGGCTCCTACAGGAACCGGCTTGGGCCTAGGAAAAGACAGAGAGCGACTCCTGCGGGAACTAGTTTGTCCCAAACTGTACTTGTTTGTTTGTACTAGTTTGTAAGAACACTGTGAAGAAACCAAACGGCTCCGACGGGACACTCTCGCGGATGTCTGAAAACAAAACGTGACTCGATGAGACTCGAGCTACGAACCTTTTATATTTAAAACTAGAAGGAACCAATCACCATCCAGAACTTCTCCGTGGCGTGATCTCGGGTCTGACGAATCACGACATGTCATGACTAAACAGGAAAAAAGAAGAAACATATTTTTTGGCGCCGACCAGGTATCGAACCCGAGTCTGTGGCCACAACACAGCGCTTTCACCACACACGAAGATTTTTCAAGTGACCGTAATTAATTTCTCATATAAGACCCGTGGACTAGCGTCTGTGCCCTATTGGAGCAAGTGGTTTAAAAAGGGGGTAGCGGGTATCTCCTCTTTTTGCGGGTGACGTCACATTAGGAATAGGCCTAGACAGATTCTGCTCAAAAAATGTTAAAAAGTTGCTGAAAAATATCCCCAAAAGTTGCTCAAAATTTTTTTATAGCTTCTTGCTGAAATCGAAGAACAGCAAGCTGGCTCTGTTTCTGTGCAACAACATAGCGAGTAGTTTCTGCTCAGTTACAGTTTCTTGTGAATTTGGTGAGCGTGAAACGGGCCTAACTCTGTACGCATCCTAGTCCTTTCTCTGGCAATTGTACCTGATCGTCACGGATGCCTCAATGTAATCTTCTAAGGCGCTTTTCCTGCTGGGATGAAAGGGTTCTGAGCAGACTAAATACCCTCTCGGCAGAGACAGAGCTGGGCTCGACGAGAAGTGTTTTCTTTACAAGGGAAGCCCTGGATTGGATATCTTTGATGTTGTTCTTCAGCGGATTCTTCATTGTCAGAAGAAAGCGCCTTTTTGAGTTAGTTGTACCATATCTGGAATATTAAAGGCTGATTTTCACAAGCGCATAAGCACAAGCGTAAGCATAAGCACAAGCACTCGCATAAGCAAGTGAGAACACCCATGACATAAGCGTAAGCATAAGCACCAGAAGAACGAACATGGTTCGTTCTTCTTGTGCTTATGTTATGCTTATGTCGTAATGCGAACACGAGTGAAATAATCATAAGCATAAGCGTAAGGCGACCATCTTGATTGCATAGTCGAGGAAAGCTGGTATCGAGAAATTTTTTAATACTGCGCCTACGTATGCTCTTATGCTTATGTTCTCGTGTTCTCATTTGCGCATGCTTATGCCTATGATTGTGCTTAGCTTATGCGCTAGTGAAAACCAGTCTTAACACAGGATACCCATTCTGGAAATGGAGTCACATCCGGCATATCCATATTTGGAATCTATCAGAACAAGATGTTGATCGAAAAGCAAGAGAGTTTCTACTGAAATTCTTCTAAATTTCCAAAGAAAACGTGTTAAGATATCAATTACTTATCTTTTCCTCAGCTCGTGAGCGGGCGGAATTCAACAAATCCTGCAATCTGATTGATTCCTGGAGCGGGCGGAATTTTCTCATCCGGACCACCACAGCGGGCGGAATCCGTCGAGTTGATCTATTTTCGTGAACGAATTAGCGGTAATCGTCAATCTTTCGCCCTTTTCTAATTGAAGTTTTCTAGGACTAATTGAAGTTCGTTCCGCTCGACACAAGTTGCATGCCTGCCGAAACTGGAAAAATAGCACATATTGCCGGCGCTCTAAAAAAATTAATATTCGCTCAAAAGTTCCAATTCTTTTTTTCAACTATAGATATATCACAGCAGTTTGTTTAGCCATGTTGCAATTATAATTCAATGTAGGCAGTTCCTTCAACGGTTAAAAGAAGATTTTCTACCCGTTAAATCGAGTTTTGAACCAAACGCGAAAATAGCTCTACTTGTGGCACCTGTTTGAAACTGCTGAACTACATGAATAGAAAGTATAAATGGCCCTTAATTTAAAACAATAATAAAATTTGTCTGCCCACTAGGTTTTCAAAACTAACGACCGCTTTAAAGTTAAGGAAATTTTGAAAATATTCCAGTGAGTAACTAACATACTCACCTTCGTAAATTGCGCCGATAAATTCACGTAAATCTCTTACCTGGCTTCAAGATTAACGTTTAGGTCCTTTGTAGCGATCCTGAAACCTAGGAAGCATTAAAACTGCCAGCTTTTCCTTCCAGCGGTGGGTTTGTATACAAGGTACATTTCTACGTTCCTCATCTGTGTCGAGCGTGACGGCCACATACTTCGAAGTTCTTTGTATTACTGACCATTGTTTTCCTCGAAGTCTGTTTAATCATGTAGAGTCTTCTTGAAAGGTTTGTAGAAGCACTCTTTTGGACAACTCTCGGCACACATACATGTATGAAGAGTGAACGGTGATCCCGGGATCCAAGGAAGGATTGATAAATCCTATGGCCATTTTGTGTTTACAAGAGGTGTTTTAGTTCCTTGGATCCCCGGATCGTCATTCCATCTTTTAGGAGTTTGGGTGATTTTCCGTCATTCCGTCTTTAAGGAATTTGGGTGATTTTCTGTCATTCCGTCTTTTAGGATTTCGGGGGATTTTCCCTCATTCTGTGTTTTAGGATTTCGGGGGATTTTCCGCCGTTCTGCCGTTCCGCGATTCCATCTTTTAGGATTTGGAGTTACTTTCCGCCGTTCTGCCGTTCCGCGATTCCTTCTTTAAGGATTTGGGGTCATCTTCCGTCGTTCCGTGATTCCTCCATTCCGTCGTTCCATCATTCCGACTTTTAGGATCTCCTGCAGTGATATGCATAATGACCCAGTCGATTCAAAATAAGACAGCACAAATATTGATGGGTTTAACATGTATTATAATCGTGGATTATAATTGAATACTCGCGGATATCTTGCGAGTTACGAAGAATACGAGCAAAATGACTGCGCGGATTATACGTTAGGCTACGAATAGTCCCTCTTTCGCTTAGCCCGTCGAGCGAGACCGTAAATGAACCGCCAGGAAAAATGGCTGCGTGAAATATATATTATATATTTGTGTCCTCCCTATTTTGAATCATCAGGGTTATTATGCATATCAAATGATTTCTATTTTGTGTTAAAAGTAAGATAGATATGAAGATGTATTCTGTGATAAAGTTACTAAGCGGTATCCCGGGATCCAGTCCTAGGTCAAGATACTGTATTTGTAGACTTCATTTGTGAATGGGAAGCAAGCCGTTGTTGTTGCGTGTTGTTGTGACAGCTTCGCCCATTCGTTTTAAGAGATCTTAGCTGATATTCAGGCTTCCCTTTACGGCGGAAACCCTGTTCACGAAACCCAGGCTAGATAACTATATTTTCTATTTCTCTATAAAATTCATCTCTTAGAATGAAGTATTTAATGCCATATTTAAGAAAGAAACTGAAAAAATCTCGACTTGAAAGACCACCAAAATAAGCACAAAAACATTCAACCATCTAAAGTATGTTCTAAACTAGTCATGTACACAATATCGCCGAGGGCAATATTCAATTTCACATGTTTTGAACACAGCTAGTTTTTCGTTTGACTCCTCCGTTCATTTCCACACGATTTGTGAGGAACTCTTTGAAAGAGATCAGAACAGGTTGTCCGTCAGTTGGTCAAGAAAACATTCATTTCACTTCATGATTTGCAAGGCGATCGACCTTTTCTTCACATGGAACTTCGAATTCTTCGTGAGTGTCTGTTGCTGTTGGCCGGCCTGATTGTTGGTCTCCATGTTGCATTGTTTCTGAAGCAGAATCAATGCCATTTAACCTATAAAAAGAATTTCCGACCAGGGAAAATGACAAACGAAGAGCAGTTTAATAACAGTAAGTTCATCTTTGTTGGTGTCATGACAGCTGAGACATTTCTGCAAACTCGAGCTCAAGCAGTGTTTGATACATGGGGCAGGAATGTTGCTGGAAAACTAACATTTTTTTCAAGTCAGACTCATCAAAAGTCCAAGCTACCAGTGATCAGTCTACCCGACGTGGATGACTCGTATCCACCGCTCAAGAAGTCGTTGATGATGATCAAGTACATACACGACCACCACATCGACGACTACGAATGGTTCATGCGAGCGGACGACGATGTTTACATCCGCAATGACAAATTGGTACGTTTATTACATTCATTAAACAGTTCCGATGATATCTACCTGGGGCAAGCGGGAACAGGAGCAAAGAAAGAAAGAGGAATGCTTAACCTGTTGCCTGGAGATAACTACTGTATGGGAGGGCCGGGTGTAGTATTCAGTCGAAGTGTTTTGAAAAAGGTTACTCCGCATATTGAACATTGTCTTCTAAAAGCACCGAAATCACACATGCATGAAGACACTGAGCTTGGTCGGTGTATACAACGCTATGTTGGAATTTCCTGCACTTGGGCCTATGAGGTAAGTTGCTAATTATCAGAAGTTAAAGGTGTAGTTTTGTTGCATCTTCACTCCGTTCGTCCTTTCTTGCTTCCTTGCTTSCTTCCTTCTTTCTTTTCTTCCTCCCTTTCTCCTTTCAAAGAACCCTTTTCTGTCTTCAAAACGTCCCCGTGACAGAATTCATACAAGATCACTGACCGCTCCATGATCTTGAGGATTTCAAATATAAAAAAACTGCCTTAGGAAACTTCAGTTTAAATTACCGGATGAGAGACCAGCCACATATACAATACTATTCTCCTGAGAATTTCAAGCTTTCAACGAACAGCTCATATACTAACTTACATTCTTCTCAGCAGAGAGAAGTTTGCTAAATCTGCATGTGTGGTGAAATTTGTGGTCGACCTCTTACAGAAAGCTGCTAAAAGCGAGATTTTATGTGGTTATTTTAAATTCGCGCTACTGTAAATATGAAATATCGTGATTAATGACTGACTGATTCTGATTTCTTTTTTTTTCTTTCAGATGCAGAAACTTTTCCTTCACGACTACAATGGGAATGGAAAAATCTTTTTGGGTAAGCTAAACACTAAGAATATTAATGATGCCATTACACTTCACCCTGTTAAAGATCCCGCCTACATGTACCGTCTACACGTGCACTTTAACAACGAACGCATTCAAGATCTTCAACAGCAAGGAGTAAACCTGCAACGCGTTTTACGGAACATGGATCGATTGCTACAAACGAGAAACGAGGACAAACGAGGCCCTCAAGATGCAAGAGATTTTCATCATCAGTTGGCCATAAATAACATTGAAAAATGGGAAATGTTTACTTCCAAATCATTTTACCCTGACTTGAGCTTAAAAGCGCCCGTTACCAAGATCCGTGGCGCACTGAAAATTGAAGTCAACAATATGCTGGAGAAAACAAAGGAAGTTATAAACGAAGAGGTCAGGAAGAATCGACATCTTGGAAAGTTGAAGGACCAGGAAATAAATTTTGGTTATAGGCGTTTTCATCCCCTATATGGCATACAACATATCGTACAACTCACAGTCATTGGTACAAAGAAACATCGCCACAAAAAAACAGGTGAAACGAAAACTATTCACATTTCATACGAGAGAAGCTTCTATGCCCAACAGCCTTTTGCAAATTTGAGATATACCACTGAGCCCCGTGCAGGGATGCCCCCTTATGTACACTTCATCGTCCCCTTAGAAGGTCGTCTGGAAACGTTCCGTCGTTTCATGGCAAATTTTGAATTGGTCTGCCTCAAAGTACTTCAGAGAGTCAAGCTGGTAGTCGCATATTCTTCCTCTGTGTCTTCTCCTCATGAACACAAAGGTATCATGAAGAAATACCAAGAGAAATATCCCGAAGCAGAACTTATTTGGCTTGATGTTGCGGGTAACTTTTCCCGCGGAATAGCTCTTTCTCTCGCAGCAAATAAATTTGATCAAGCAGCCTTGCTATTCTTGTGTGATGTTGACTTGATCTTTAACTCGGAATTTATTGATCGCTGCAGATTGAACACTGCGCTTGGTAAGCGAGCTTACTTTCCAATAATTTTTACTCAGTTTGATCCTGAACTAACATACAGCAACAAAACCAAACCCGATTCGCACTTTACTATTAACAAAGATGCAGGAATTTGGAGGTCATTCTCGTACGGACCCGCATGCATTTATCATCAAGATATGGATGCTGTTGGAGGCTTTGACACAAGCATTAGAGGCTGGGGATTGGAAGACGTGGATCTTTTTGAGAAGTTTGTAGATCATCCAGAGATTGAGGTGTTTCGCGCAGCTGATCCCGGTGTAATACATGTTTATCATAAAATAAATTGCGATCCAAATCTTCCCGTTATACAATACACTCAGTGTCAAGGCTCTAAAGCCTCCATACTGGCCTCTCAAAAATCATTAGTCAGAGCTCTGCTTTCCACTCAAAACGCATACGAATGAACTTTGTTAACAGTAATGTACCCCATGTAAGTATTTGTTCGCTATGAGCACTGTGGGTGAGTGGAACAGTTTACCAAGATCCGAAGCTGAGGCAGAAAACTCGAAACAGTTCAAGAATATTAGTTGACTTAATCGCTTTCTTAATGTGCTTTAGTTTTGCAACCACGTTATCTAACGAAGTTGAGTATATTGTAGAGTTATATCTTTTACATATAGCTTTGCTATTTGACCCTTTATTTTTATTAATCCTTTTTCTTTTTAGGGAAACAGTTTATAACATCCACCTCCTGTTTTCCTTTTCAAGATATACTTTTTAATTTGAAAGTTCTTTAACATCTTGTATAAATGTTACGTTACGCTAAACGAAAGGCTTAGAAAATAGACAGACGTGATATTTTGTAACGTTTTCCTAGTCACACAAGTGTGCTAATTGGTGATTCCTTGTTTAAATGGGAGTTGCCGACCTGAGGAGGCGAAATAGATTAGTTTGAAGAAGAGATAGATTCAGTTTCCACTGAGAAGGTACAGTCGACGCTCTCCTTGAGGACACCTCTTCAATAATTAAGGACAGCTCCTTATAAAAACTCTCTAAAAATATGGTCATTCTCTAATACGGACAACGAACACTAACTCTCAGCAACAGAAAGGAAATAATCCATATGAGCGTAACCTCTTTATTACAGACAAACCAATGATAACTTGATCAATACAATTTACTGTTTGTGGCTTCATTGTTCAATTATGCATACACTTAAAATAAGAGCAGCATTTGTAGCTGCGATCTATTATCGGAACTCTAATTCTTTGAAGACTTCAAAATTGATATCTCTACTGGAAGACGTGCACGATTGCACAACGAATATCGTGACTTTGTCCTGGAGGACATGGAATGGCGTCCGTTTAATGTGTATTTAACAGTTTAGCTCCGACTTATCCACCGACACGTCGTCCTCAAACTCAGGTCGTTGCAGAATTTCGTCCAGTTCGGCTACCATGGCGGAGACCACTGAGGATTCCAACGTGGTGGACACTATATGTATGACTCGTGAAATACCATGTTGGTATTTGGGTATCCGCGATACCGCGGGAATCCCCTTGCAAAGGTAACATAACTCGCGACCGTCACACGTTTTCTCTTTTTCTTTTCTTTTTCGACGCGTCTGGCACGACGTTTCCTTCTCAATTGATCTCGTTCGTTTTTGCATTTAATATAGGCTTCGTGTCGCACGTGGTCTGTCGCCAACTTCCGCCATCTCTTACGAGATCTCTCCCTCATTTTTTCTCTCCTCTACATGCCTCCAATAGTTTTAATTCTCCTTTAATTTTCAAATATAATCGGATCGTTTCGTATTTTCTCTCGGTATACTTTACTCTTCACTGGCTCGTATATTGTACCTTCTGACTTTCTTTTTTTCCTTCTTTTTCTCCCGATATCCGTCAAGATCACTTTCAAGTCTATCATAGCATATTTCTCCATCAATAAACTCGTTCTCTTTTTGTTTCACACCTTTTTCTTCTTTCCCTTAACATCTTCTTTTATTTTTTCACTTTATCCCGGTTATTCTTTTTCCAATTCCCGACATTTATCCTTCATTTTTTTCAAACTTTTATGAAGCATGATCTAACAAAACCACACACAAAGACAAAACATCATTCTGACTGCGCTAACACGAGACATTCAATGTGAACAGCTTATTACGGATGCATCAGTCAGTCCTCTGATACAGATGTATTCCGCCTTACAACATAATCTCTATCCTTGCAAATTACAACTACAACTACAAAATCAATAACGTAGAATATTTTTCATTTATACATACAAGCTGTTATAGAAAAGCTCCAAAACAAAAGCGGACGAACACGAATACTGACTAGCCTAGAATAACCTACGTCTCCCGCCAAACGCCTAAATAGTCCCTAAATGTCCCATGACACCCCGCGAGCCTCTCCCTCGTGCCATCAGAATTAGAATTTCTGACTGTTTCCTCCCTCACTCTTTAGAAATAAGTCTCAACCATTTTATTTCACTTAAACTTTTTACAATTCGGGCGTGTGCCCCACACCCTAGACGAAGGCTCCAAATTTCAAAACATAACGAAAAATTAGGCTCGCAAAGCGTGCATGTGGCTACTGCTTCACAGTTTATGCATAATGCCTTCGGAGCAAAGAAATCACTACCTAAAGAACTGAAGATGGCGATTTATTAAACGTGCTTATTTTGACAAAAATAGCATTCATTATCGGGATATGAAGTGATGTTTCTTGAGTAGTTCAGAAGCAAGACTGTTTACAACAGTGGAATGATCCAGCTGTGCATATGATTTTGAGACTGAATCAAACTGAACGTTCCTCGAACTGACAAGATGCACAATTGGATGAAGTTAATCACATATGGAACTCTTGTAGCTCTTCGTGTGATCTAATAAATAGAGCTTATTGGTTATCAACTGTAACAATTTTTGAATTCAAATTACCATGCAGTATACCAGGGAATGCAAAGCACCTTGTCCTAGTGAAATGGTGCATAGCTAAAAAGGTTCCCCATCCTAGATTTTTGTGATTGTTACAGATACCATTTGATGAATAATCAATTGTTTGAAAATGACAGTCTTAAAAACATTTAGTAGTTCTGAAGCTCTTAACGCGAGTGTCAAATTATTTGAGACCATATCTTACTCGCTATTTGCTTGCTAATACGCCAAGTCAAATGATGCTCAGTGGCCCAAGTATATGACATTCTAAATATCTGTCATGCAGCTTACAAGATGTCTTTGTTACTGACTGTAAACCTAAAGGTTTTGGTTGAAACATATTCAAGTAGCTGGATTTCAGTAGAATTAGTGACCTAATTTGCTACCTTCTGTAAAAGTGTGTTCATAGTTGTATCTAAGACAGTGTAAGTACACAGCATTTGGTTTAGGTCATTGTTTAAGACTAAATGAACATACTTCATCACTGATGTGTATAGGAGCTTAGTGACAAAAAGTGATCAACTATCTGGATCTTTGTGTTACACAACAGACAATTATATATTGTATAAAGTTGATTTATATATATTCTGTTTGCCATGACTGAGGCAAAAACATCTTTATCATATGATTCACGGTGTTCTGGCTCAATACTGATTGTGACATCCGCTTGCTTAACAGTACTGTGTTTGGTGGTACATGTATAAATTGTATGCAGTGATTATATGTCTTATAATTAAAACCATGCATACTAATGCCTTCCCTGATATAAGACTTTCCTATCGATATATCTGCAAACGCACTAGTGTTCAGTGTTCCATCTGCAATGTCAAAATCAATCTTTGCCAGCCTTTTTCCCTCTAAAGTTAATGTTTTCTTAACCAACTTTTTGTAGGATCTTAGCCTTTACCGATATAGACTGAAAGCCGCACATTTGCTCAAATTGAGAAATGTTGAAAGGCATCTGTGGAAAGGAATTGTCATGTTCCTAATTAACAATATGTGGTATTTCTCAACATATTTTTACCCTCCTTAGATGCTCTTTGTCTACCTAAAAGTATGCTTTCTTGGACTTATTCAAAAGTTACTGGTATTTTTTGATCATGTATTTCTTTGAGGCTTCAGGATGCTTTTCTTCTATTACTGCTTTTGTGAGAAACGTTTGCTGCCGGAATTCAAAGAAGAAACTTCCAGTGTTAGTGCTCTCTGCATGTCAATAATTGTGTGGATAGAGCCACAAATTTGTACATTCATCAGTTTTGTTGTAAATGAAGATCTTGACAAAAAAATACAAATAGAGTGACTAATAATATAGTATCAAAGGAATGCTAGTGATAATGAAATGTGATGTGATGATGTGATGTGATGTGATGTGATGTGATGTGATGTGATGTGATGTGATGTGATGTGATGTGATGTGCACAATTGTGCTACTGAACACTGTAATGAGTACTGACACAATTCAATCACTGGATAGTCGGGCATTTGAGGAAGCTCGAAAATATATCAACTGAAGACATTTGTTGATTTGGGCTGCTGAGATTGATTATGTATAAACCAGTGAGCACCAGTAGCAAAACATCCTTTGTTCACAAAAGCAGTGCTCAGGCAAATCATTTAGGAACTCATGTAAGTTTACAGAAGAACAATATTGTAGGGATTGGCAGAAGTGTCAGTCTTGCCCGTGGTAGCAAAAACGTTTTGCAAAGTCTAAAAAAATTCGGTAGGTAGTCTTTCAGAGTCACCTTTAATTTTCGAAAATTTTTAATGCGTTGGATATCCTGTCTTAACATGCTTAATTATCGCAATTCGGTAATAAAAAATGTGTCTCACCGAGCCGTTTTTGAATTACATAACTCACTTAAAGCTAAACTTAAAGGTGTATTAACAGGTTTTGTCGTTGCTATGGTAATCTATTATGGGTATTTGTGTAATAATTCTACTTGTTCCTGTCGTTCTATTATTTGAAATGTTGCATCCCAATGTGGTCAACCAGGGAATATCCGGGAAATTTCTGTTTTAATCGAGGTTCCGCGACAAAATTTCAAATCGTTCGGGAAAATACTCGTCAAAACCGGCAATCGGTTTGGTTTAGTCTCGCGCAGAAAGAGGATTGCTATTTTACAATTGGATTATGAGGTCGAGATTGAATTCTGACTAAATTTCCTTCAAATAACGATTTCTAATCATTTCTCAGCGTAGTATTACTTCATGCTTAAGTAAAATAGCCCAGCACATTTATGGACGAGCACTCATCGGTTCATCGTAGAATTTTGAAGTTTAAAGCTGCATAACGGTCATTTTCCCTCCTCGTGGCTCTTAAGAATTCATGTATCCAGTAATATTTCTAAATCTTCCTTGAAACAGCAGAGAAACTGGGAAACGTGGCCATTGTGTGGACGACCTCTTGCCACTGCACTCTAATTAACAATTAGATTATGAGCTCGAGATTTCTATGAGGTGATTGTTGATGAGGCTGAAGGCTGAATTAGCTATCAACTCATAGAAATCGAGAGCGAATAATCTAATTGTTTTAATAGAACTTTTACTTAAATTTTCTTCAAATGACAATTCCCAGTTGTTTTTGTACATTGTATTTAACTTTACGCTTTAGAAAAATCGCGCGGACTGAATTGTCGTTTGGAATTTCCTGTTGAGTACGCGCTCATCAGTTTCTTCAACATTGTCTAGTTTTTCAAGGTCACGAAACCGTGAATGCCCTTCATTTCGACTTCTCAGGAATTTAATTATCCATTTGCATCAAAATTCCGTCCAAAACTTTGAAAAATCGAAAAAAACGTCGCCATTTCCTAGACGACCTCCAGCCACTGCACACTAATGGCTGATAGTGTTCAATAGCTCAGCCAATCAGATTACAGCATTTGCATCAGTATACTAGTAGAATTCTACTAATGACTGATAGTATACGAGTAGCTCAGCCGATCAGAGTGCAGCATTTACATTAGTATGCTTCAATAGTAGAATTCTACTAATGGCTGATAGTATACGAGTAGCTCTGCCAATCAGATTGCAGCATTTGCATTAGTATACTAGTCGAATTCTACTAAATATCTATATTGACAAATACAAACACCACTAATATCATTTGGAGCAACCGTATATCATTTAATATCTTCAATCATAACAGGAATCACCCCTTCACCAGAATAAATTGAAATTACGTTAAATCAAGCTGCGATCAACACCCTATAAGCTGTGAAATGCAATCATCAGAATTGAGAGCTTCTTCGGTATGCGCCACCAGGTGCAGTCTATTGAAATCAAAAATAAAATTGGATTCTATTTGAGTTAGTGCCTCCATGCATCTTCAGTGTTACATGGTTAGAAGGGGACGTTAACTTAAAGAACCCACAAACTTATTGGAAAGAGTAAGGCGCGGAGTTCCTAGTGTTGTTGTCTACTCTTGTCTCATGGGTTGCTGCTTCACAAGGGTGTAAACTCATTGTGCCTTTCCCCCTTGGACAGAATTGTCTCAAAGAAAAACTGGAATGTCTGTGTCTATTTTTGTGGTGCTCAGGACTATATCTAAACTCGTACATCCATCATCGTAAAGGACTGAGTAGGTGGAAGTTAGTAGCTCCCTCACAACTTTGGTTTACATATTATAAACATTTGAAAAGGTTAAACCCTTAGTGGAGAGCCGGTTGTGACCTTGGTGAGGTTGCATTTCAATTATTGGAGTGCTTTGTAAGCATGCATTCTGTCTAGAATCTTGCCTATCGATTACGAAAAACTACTGACAGGAAGAATCTTGACTCATTTACTTTGGAGAAACTCGTTATACACACGTTTAACATAACACGTTGTGTTATGTTATGTCATGTAACTGAGAACAGTGAGTCAGACATACTTCACAGAATGTAGTCATGTTCTTACTCACCTAAATGCAGTGGTATTTGACCCTTAGATATTTGTACGTTCCCCAACATGGATCACCAAACACTGAGTTGCTGGCAAACAGACTGCAGCTAGATTTGTTGTTGCATTTGCTCTTCACAATCGAAATAGAGTTGCCAGAATGACAATTGGTGGTGCGAATGCTCGGATGCCAGCACGTATGATGGTCATGTCTGCCATAGGACGCCTCCAACACGTTGATTTTTCCTCCACATGGGCAACTTAAGGTTTTCCGGTGGTTCTCACAAATGGTTTTTTGAATCGCCTGAATGCACTGGAACTTGACCTCAAGATATTTGAAGGTCCCAAAGCATGGATCACCGAAAACTCCGTTGCTTGCATGCAGCTCGCAGCTGGTTTTGTCGTCGCATCTGCTCTTCACAATCGCAAAAGAACTCGCCGAATGACAGCTGGTGGTGATTATACTGGGGTGACTGCAGGTACCACGGTCATGCCTGCCATAAGACGCTGCCACTACCCTGATGCGTCCTCCAATCACGCAGCGGATAATGACTTTGGCATGTTCACAAATGGTCGCGGACACTAGGTCCTCTACAGCGAAGAAACAAACCACAAATTTCATGTTAGAGTAAAAGCTTTTTTGCTTTAAAATCCTCGGGTAAGAACGCAAAAAAACAAACAAAACAAAACAAAAAACAAACAAAACAAAAAAACCAAAAAAAAAATAAAAAAAATAAAAAAAAAAAACAAACAAAAAAACCAGAGCAATTGGCACGATATTCTAGAGAGCCCGAAGCTAAGCTTATGGTTTTCTTTTGAAAACGCAAGAAGAGCTTGTGATAGGTATAAAATTTTTGCTTTAAAATTTCACAGATTAAGACTAATTTAGATGGAAACCGATGTTCTATTTCCTGAAATAAAACTACTGCTACTGCTACTGCTACTTCTATAGCTACTGCTTCTGCGACTGCTACTGCTACTGTTACTGCTACTGCTACTGCTACTACTACTGCTACTACTACTACTACTACTACTGCTACTACTACTACTATTATTATTTCGTCTTCTACTACTACCAATTATGAAAACGATTTACAATAACAATTGTAATAAAGTCGTTAAAAAAGGAAGCAGTTTACAGAAATGACCCTTATATATTTGTATAATGATGATAATAATAATGATGATGGTGATGACGATGATGATGATGGTGATGGTGATGGTGATGGCGAGGGTGAGGGTGAGGGTGAGGGTGAGGGTGAGGGTGAGGGTGAGGGTGAGGGTGAGGGTGGGGGTGAGGGTGAGGGTGATGATAATAATGATAAAAACACTTCATCTCGTAAGCAAAGTACATCAGATTAAGTATTTACCTAATCAGGCTACATACATCACAGGGTTTGAGTATCGCGTGCAAAAAGTGTGAAATCGAATTGATTCAAGTCGAATCAAATAAACCAAATCAAAAATAAAGTAATGAAAAACAAAATGACAATAAAAACTCAAGATCAGTAATGACTGGTCGCATAGCTGAGGATCAACGAAAAGGCTAACACACCACACCTTTGCAAGCCATGGCCAGTTTGGTTTCCTCCAAGATAGTGAACAGTGCAAGGAAAGCGAAAAAAACAGTCCACTTTATATTTTGAGCTGCCATGTCTGGAAACTAAGAAGACGATAACAAATACATTAAAATAAAATGCAAGAACACATTAAGTGTGTGGGACTGTGGAAACACAAGAGAGTGCTGTGATGCCAGTAGCATTGACATTCATTCAAACGTTTCCTTATTTTATTGCAATGAGCAGAAAAAAAAAATGATTTGATAGACTTGAAAGAAATTAAGTTGAGTTAAGTTGCAAATTACCTATTTTTATCGCGCTTTTTGAAACTGCTATAAGTGCTACTTTCTGCGGCCGTCCCACCGAACGGGAAGAGTGAGGCACAATCTAGTGCTAACGAAAATGATGCTACCAATTTGCTACAGTAAACACTAGCTTTTGATTGCTTTTGTTCCCCTTTCCCTCATGTTTGTTATCAGATCCTCGAGTCCATAATGTTGCAAATAAACAAAACACGAATAAAGAGAGCGATTTTTTAAAAGTTTGCCTTAAAAGAAACTCACACGAATTGTTGATTGCCTGAACTGGAACTACCTGAATAGAGTTAGCTATGATGCCACTTTACCTAGAAGGTCTTTGTCTTGTCTGAACTCCTCAGCGGCTTGAAAGACTGATGAAGTCAATATTCCGCACTAATGCTTAAGAAGACGCATTCTGCCACCTGATTGGTAAGTGCATGTTAAACATTGTTCATAAATTACTGTCAGAGCTTGTCACAGGTATTTTAAAAGAGATAATTACCATAAAACCAGCTATTGAGTTATTAATTACTTGTTAAGAGGTTGCTAAACTAACGTAAACATTGTAAATTGATTTAGTTTAAGGTCATCACTGGGTTTGTTTTCACAGTTGTTTCAAGGTATGATTAAATGTTTTAACAAGCTTTTAGATATAAAGATAATCGTGGCAGACTGTCATTCCAAAACAAATCCATTAACATTAAAAATCCGATTGAGTTTCCAAAATTGTTCCTGTTATCGTAAAATTTTAAACAAACTTTAACATGTCAGGACAATCGTGAGACACTCACGACCCACAAAAACTGCTTTGGGATCCACTTTAGGTTCTTGTTTAAAAATTGGTTACGCAGCATCATATATGTTTAAAAAAATAAGGTCAGCACACACGACGAACAAGTTCCTGCGACTATTCCCTGTAATTAGACGCATGGACAAGTCCCTTCCTGTAAAATAAACCTTTTTGTCAAAAAATTAGTCACCGGGACTTTTCCCTCAAACCGCACCATGTGAATTGCTTTTGGGAAAAGTCCTTGCAACCAGATTAAAAGAAACCAGTCAAAAATACGCATGATGGGCTCTAATTGAATTAGTCCTTACGAACTCTGTTTCGAGATGGGGGCTCAGGCTCGGTTCGGGAAGACGACAATTATGTTAGAAGCAGCTTAAGGTGTTACTACTTCGAGAATCCTGATAGAATTTTACCAAGAGAAACTGATAACTCTGTCATCCGGAAATCAGAAAAAAACGGGCACTGAACAAATTAACAGACAATCTGCAGCAGCTTTTTGGGTTGATTTATTTCAGTGCTGCATTGCTAATCAATTAATTCCGTTTCACTTTGGGAAAGCCAAAGACTGAAGCAATGATAGCTTTTGTCGCTAGTCTTAACTATGTTCCTGTGCAATTAGTTCCGGCGTGTGACTTCTACAAGGGACTAGTCCCTGTAAACTGTTTTGGCCTTGTGTGTACCGACCTTATGAAAGACTGGCAAATGAAGCCAGATAACATTGACGTTTAATTGGTTCTGGTTTCCACCGAGTCGCTTCGCGCCTAATCCTGTCTAGATAAAAAGGGAATGCGTTTGAGCCAAGTGTCTTGCCACATAATGACCCCGGCCATGGCTCGAATCCGGACCACTCGATCTGACGACGTCAAGCGCACTAACCATCAGTCCATTCCATTCTACGTTTCGGACCTGAGTCATCCTATTAAGAGTGTGTCAATGGGGTATAGCTCTAGTAAGTAAACAGCTGAAAAGGCCATTTAGTCAGTAAACTGAAAAAATGGATTTAGTCAGTAATCAGCAAAAAAGTAGATAAGTCAGTTAAATTCTATGATTTTATGACTTTTATGAGGAGGGGATGTAGACGGCCTCCGTTTGCAAATTCTCTTGCTGAAGCAAAACAAAATAATTTTTTTAAATTTTTGAAAATGAAATTTGAAAATAGAACATTTTGTTCACTGTATTGCATCACTAAAAGGAGTAGTTTTAGGTTGGTTAACCAATCACAACTCAATTCTCACTTTGGTTTGTTGTTGACACGAGGGACTTTTAAAACTATTAGTGTGTAGCAGGTAAAGTGGCAAGTATAGCGTGTGATCAAGCCAGTTTTGCAGCAGGTTTTACTATGATCTTCTTTTGAGAAGGCATTGGCATGGTTGTTTCTGTCGAGGTAATCTTTTTCGCGAGCACATGTACAATTGTGTGCGGTAACAATATACGAGGGTTTCCATAGCTGTCGCTTCCTCTTTCGCTCTCATGAATGTTTATGTATCTAAAAGGTTGCTTATTAAAATTACCTTAATTAACAAAACTCGAAAATTCGCAATAAAGATAGTAGAAACACTATCCGTCAAACGGCTGTTCCCACAGCTGTTTGACTCGTTGTTCTTTAGGAGATGAAGAAGTCAAGCTGGAGAAGGCAATCCGGTCAAGTTTTGTTTTGTTTGTATGCAATTAGAAATTTGCATTTTCGTAATCTTTGGCTAGTTCTGCCCACTTCATTTTTGTCAGAACCAACTCAATGGCTATATATAGGAACTAAAACGTCCTTGGGAATCATTTTACTGAACCATACATGCCTCGAAACAGTAATTGTCTCTCTTAAGCCCGGCGTTATTTTGAAAACGCATTATCTTTCATCGGGACAATTATTTAGGCAAGTTATTAAGGACATAAGCAAAAGCGTGTTATAGTCTTCAATTATCAACATATGAAGATTTCCATAGCTGTTCCTTCTTTTCGCATTCTCACGAGTGTTTGTTTATCTAAAAAGTTGCTTAAATTAAATTTAGCTTAAATCGACAACAAGACTGTGAAAACAGGAACCAGAGCTGAGTGTTTCCACAGCTGTTTATAGGCGTCCAAAATTAACGGGAAAAGAAGTGAGCCGGGCCGGGAGTAGCTAAACAGGAAGTTTTTCTTCTTCAGTAACTCCACAAAAAGTGTTTTCTTTCCATATTCTTTAACCGCTAAGTGATGATTTGTCAACTTTTCCTGACTGTTTGAACATTTAAAAGGCTACTTAACGTGCGTTTAAATAACTAAATTAAAATTAAAGCACGAGCCGTCAATGGCCTTTACCAAAGTTTTAGAAATAAAGAGGTTCGGCACAAGCTTAAGATAGATTTTCGATCAGTTCTACTTCGCTTTTAGTCCGTGTTTGAAAATAAAATAAAAATAAATCCGTCCCATGTAGTGCTGTCTGGTTTGTGTCGATGTAAGAGCTTCTTAACAGCAGTCGTTATCAAATCAACCATTATCTGTTAGTTCTAAGGTAATTACTGACAAAATCAAAACCAACTTCTTCAGCGTCAGTGTGTATAGCGACTCGTTATTTTTTTTTCTGAAGGTTTCTTGCAAATGCGTTTTACTTCGTTTTCTTTATCAAAAGACGATGCCAGTGTGTTTTTGTCGAAGAAAATCTTTGACGTGAAGTTTATATGAAATTATTCATATATGAACTGCGGTTGTAGATGAAAGTGAAGAATGATCATCGCAGTAAATTTTCCAATTAAAGCAATTGGAAAGAAGAAGCCCTGATTTTTTCAGGCTTCTTCTTTCCAATTGCTCAAATTGGAAAATTTACTGCGATGATCATTCTTCACTTTCAGAATCTTTGACGTAACCAAATTTGAAACGTTCCACTCGCAGAACACTCCAATGCAACTTCGTAAGTAAAATGACATATTCACATAATTTATACAGAGAGCTAAAAATGATAGTATAGATTTGAAATTGTGCACTTAAACCTATTAAAAGAAGCACTGAGCAGGTAACTGACCGCGTGAGTTAGACCGCATGCAAGAACTTTCGAGTTCAACTAGAAACTTTCGACAGACATAATAAAGTTCTGCTTTCGATGTATTACAAAAATCTCTAAAGCATAACTATACTTGGCCACTTAGGTTCTTTATTTTTTCCTGTAATGTTTCATCTGTGTCTCTCCACGTAATTAAAAAACAGACTTAAATTGTCCAGAATGGATTTTACATTTGAGATCTTTTGGCATTTTTACGTCTTGTATTTCTCTCTTATTAACTCATTTATGTGTTGTTCCTGATTAATAGTAGGCCTGATGGCTGGCTAGAAGGCAAGAAACGGTAATAAAGTTTTTAATTGATTGATTGATTTATTAAGTGTCATTCTCAGAGAAAACCGGGCAGGACCAAAACATCGAGGTCGGCCGTTTACCTTCATCTTTTCACAGTATAAATGCTATCCGAAAAGATTAACAACCATAATATTTACCGAGGTAGGCGTTCGTTTTTCTTCGAGATATCACCACATCATGATTTTGGCCTCTCATGCAAGCGGTCTAAAATGGCCAAAATTTCGGGCAACTTTAGGTGAGCCTAGAAGATACTTCGCACAAATTCCAGAAACTTCTATTTTCGCGCGATAGTATTTGTCCCCTTATTAGTTGACTGAGATATATTTGAAGTCTTCCGTATTAATTCTACGGTTTTCACGAGGTGCCAAATATCACCGCCGAATCGTTAATCGGGGTGAACCAAATTTTAGCCATTTTCAGCGAGTCGTTTTTCAAAAGTGCGGCAGTTTATTTCCACAGAAAAACATTTTTCTGATGGTCTTTTACACTGTTATCAATATCCAGTGTAGTTAAAATTGGTATCTACGGGTAAACATTTCGAACTCGCCAAATCCTTACCATTATTAAGGCTATATTTTCCCGTGAAAATTCTATTCTTAACGTCACGGTGCATGGAGAAGCAAAGTGGATCCTGAGTTCGCTGGTCTTTTATGCTGTTGTGGAGAACAAAGCGCAAGTTAATAGTGAGCAAAGTTTTACCCTAAATTTAATTTAAGTTTTTAGTTCTGCGATAGGCAGGAAAGATCGATTTACGTGGAAATATCTCTGCTAATTCCGGTGAAGACCGAAGTAAATGAGCGTGTTTTTTGATCATCTTTTGGATATGTGGAAGTTGAGGATTATAGTCAGGCACTAACGGTAGCACTTTTTTGTTAGGCTTGATTCTTTTCTTGAGGAGTTCGGATCTCTCTATGTTAAAAGCTTTCTCAAATTGTGCATCAACTAAAACAGCGTTGTAATCTTGCATCTTAAGATATGCTTTGTACTCTTCGCTCCTTTTGACTAAAGATTCCTCTGTGGAACAATTACGCTTTATTCGCAACGCTGCCCCATAGGGAATGGCTCGGTTACAATGAAAGGAATGCGAACTTGAAAAAGGCAAATGCAGGTGACTAGCTGTGGACTTAACATATAGATATCGGTGTAAATGAGGCCGTCCTGGAGGTGCAAAGTAAGGTCCAACATGTTTAAACTATATTCGGAGTACACCAGCTCAAACTTGATAGTGGGATATAGAGAATNACATGTTTAAGCTATACTCGGAGTACACCAGCTCAAACTTGATAGTGGGATATAGAGAATTGATGTACTCGGTAAATTCCAGTAATTTAGGTACATCATGAGTCCAAAGATCGAAAATGTCATCCCTATATCGCCACCACAACATAGGTCTAATTGCACCGCCAAATCTAGCTTTTTCATCAATGATTCCCATGGCCAGATCAGCATAACTACATGCATTCTTGGGACCCATAGCCATTTCATGTTTCTGAATGAAATTACAATTGGCAAATTGGCAATTGTTAGTCTGAAGACGAATCTCTATTACTTCAATTATGCAGTCAGTAGATGAAAATTTATCGATCTCGAATGTAGTGCCATTCTAACGGCTGAAATGCCTAGATTATTGTCTATATTGGGAAACATCGCAACGACGTCCCAGAAGATTAGCAAACTCTTAGTGGGCAAGGGACCCTTTTCCCTGTTAAGATTTTGGATTTCGTTGATGAGATCTGTGGTATCCTTGACGAATGATGGTAACTTTTGCGCT